AAAGATAAACTTGGACCCTAGCCAGTGTGACTCGGTCGATTTTCCCGTGTACCAAAGGGTTGCCAGTTTAATTCCAGGGTGAGCAGGAAGCATCCAATTAAGGTTTAGCTCTCACATCCATGTTTCTCTCTCTCTCCTTCTCCATTCCTCCCCTCAAAAAAAAAATTTTTTTTTAATCAATACAAAATATTTTTTAAAAATATTTTTTTAGACCTAGACGGTTTGGCTCAGTGGACAGAGTGTCAGCTTCGGACTGAAGGGTCCCAGGTTTAATTTTAGTCAAGGGCGCATGTCCAGATTGCAGGTCAACCCCCAGTAGGGGACATGCAAGAGCCAGCTGATCAATAGATTCTCTCTCATCATTGATGTTTCAACCTCTCTCTCCCTCTCCCTTCCTCTCTGAATGAATAAAAATATATATTTTTTTAAAAAGGAATGTTCTAAATTTAAAAAAAGGAATGTTAAGGTCAACTTGGAAAAAGTTTCTAATTGTCACACTTTCCACTTGGTCCCCCTTTGGTCTGTGTAGCTATTTCAACAAAGAAGTTTACTGTTCTGTATAGGTTCTCCACAAAACCAAATTTCCCCTTTGTCCCAGTAAACAGTCTCAATCTTTGCTATCATTTGAATTATTCTTTTTCTAAATATTTTTATTGATTTCAGAGAGGGAGAGGGAGAGGGAGAGGGAGAAACATCAATGAGAAAGAATCATTGATAGGCTGCCCCTGCACATCCCACACTAAGGCTCGAGCCCACAAACTGAGCATGCGCGTGCCCTGACCGGGAATCAAACCGTGACCTCCTGGTTCATAGGTTGATGCTCAACCACTGAGCCAAGTGGCTGAGCTATCTAGGGAAAACCCATCACTGTCTCACTAATAGAAAAGTGTGGACAAGGAACTCGGCAGGCTGGTCAACAACCCTAATTGCTCTAACCACTCACTGTTTAGTTGAAACATTGTTAGCTGAAGCAGCCTCCACCTTTGTTCGTCTTAAGTAAATTTCTGTTATTGGAATTTCCTGCCTAAGGGCTATGGGTGTATCCGATAGTCTCAATAAAAGGGATAGCAAGGCCAGAGCAATATGTAGTCCTCCCACAATATCGCCAAATTAATACATTTTCTAGTCTCTTTTTATTTGTGTGCGGCCTTCTCCAGAACCCTGAACCACTCAGGACAAGGGGTTCCCACAGCTATCATTGAATTTTTGACTAAATTATATTTCTATCTAGTTACAGCACATTTTATCCCCCTAAGCAGTGCATCACATGGCCGACACTCAGCTCAACAACACTTTATTTGACAAAGATCACTACGAATTCACACTATGCTTCACATTATGAATCCTAAAACACAATTTATATCCTGATCAAAATGCAGTGCACCCTTCTGAAAGAAAAGTGGCATACAAGTTAAATACTCTGGCCCGCTCGGTGTGGCTCCATGGCTGAGCATCAACACATGAACCAAGAGGTCACGGGATCAATTCCCAGTCGGAGCACATGCCTGGGGTTGCAGGCTTGATCCCCAATAAGGGGCATGCAGGAGATAACCTATCAACATCAATATTTCTATCCTCTATTCCTCTCCCTCTGCCTAAAATCAATAAAAATTTAAAAATGTTTTATTTTATTTTTTAGCCTTAGCCGGGTGGTTGAGTATTGACCTATGAACAGGAAGTCACAATTTGATTCCCAGTTGGGGCATATGCCAGGGTTTGGGGCTTAACCAATAATTCTCATCACAGATGTTTCTAGCTCTCGCTCTTTCCCCCTTCCTTTGTGAAATCAACAAAAATACATGTACATTTTTTTAATTTTTACTGATTTAAGAGAGAAACATTAACTTGCTGTTCCACCCACCCACGCATGCACTGGTTGCTTCCTTCATGCGCTGCCACCGGAGACCAAGCCTGCAATTCTGGTGCATCGGGACAGCACTCTAACAACCGGCCAGTGAGATTCTCTTTTCTTATCTGTGAACTGGCACCTACTTTACAGGATCATTGTGAGGATAAGCGGCGCTACACAAATTTAAGCCATTATTCTGCCTGTGGGTTTATTCTAAATTGAAAATATTCATTCAACCTTAAGAATGTCACTTTGTGCCCTAGCTGGTTTGACTCTGGCTAGAGTATTGGCCCAAGGACTGAAGGGTTCCTGGTTAGATTCCGTTCAAGGGCGCAGTCCTGGTGCAAGTATGTACGGGAGGCAACCAATGGATATGTCTTTCTCACATTTCTCGTATGTCTCTCTTACTGTCTTTCCCCATATCTTTCACTCTTTCTAAGAATCACTGGAAAAGTATCCTTTTAATTAATCAGGATAGGATTAATAAATAACAAGTGCCGAAACCAGTTTGGCTCAGTGGATAGACCTTCGGCCTGCGGACTGAAAGGTCCCAGGTTCGATTCCGGTCAAGGGCATGTACCTTGGTTGAGGGCACATCCCCAGTGTGTGTGTGTGTGTGTCGGGGATGGGGGGTGCAGGAGGCAGCTGGTCTATGTTTCTCTCTCATAGATGTTTCTAACTCTATGTCCCTCTCCCTTCCTCTCTGTAAAAAAATCAATAAAATATATTTTAAATAAATAACAATTAAAAAAAATGTCACTTTGTTCACATGCTTAACAAAAATTTTCTGACTCAACCTCAAGTCACTGAAAAGCATCACTTCCTTTCTCCCATTAGCTAAGAAACAAGCAAAGCAGCACCTCCCTCACAGGGGGGCCTGGTAAGAGATACAGAAATGAAGAACTGAACATCCACAGTGAATGGGGCAGAGATACTTTATTATTTGTACTGAAAAGTAAAATCAAATGTCAACATTAATCAATGGGACCAAGAAGAAATGTTACGAATACCCAAGATATAATCTAAATTAAATACAACCTATACCCAATTCAGAAAGCTCAGATCACTGAAGTATTTTTCATATACAGTAGGTTGTCGGAGATCGGTTCTTACGCAGTTTTCGCAGTAAGTGGGAACCCACCTACAGAAGCACCTATGTCACTCACATGGAGCACACACACAGCAGTAATTGTTGTGGGGTCGAACCCTGGGTTCAAAAGAAGACCACCGGAGGCTGATAATTTACTTTAAAAAAGCAGGCAAAAGAATTTATTGAACTGGCCAGGGCAGCCGCAAGGGTACCACACGCAGGCGGACCCTACACGACTGCGCTGCTTTAGGGGCAGGTAGTTATTTTTAAAGGTTCTGAGAAGGAAAACCGCCATTCTGCAACAAACTGTTGTTTGGAATTTTCTGTTCTTCCTAGATAAAATGTTGCTTTCTAGTTTGCTTTAGCCCGTTTGAAGAATGATGAAGATAAACTTAGCTGTCTGACCTTGTAGGCCAGAGACCAGATACACCCACAATCTCAATACCGTGCCAAGTGCACTTTCTCAATTGGATAGAACAGCATTGTTTTTCAAGGCCAGCATCGAGATAACCACTAAGTGCACATAGGGCTGGCTCTTTAATTAAAAAAAAGGAAGTTCTGCCTGTAACCTTGCTTAGAATTTGAATTCATCCTATTTCAATAATGAAATCTCAGCCCTAAAGTCTGTCTCTAGAAGTTGACACAAAGTAGAGATCACAAATATTTGCTGAATGATCCTAATTATTTCATGTGTGTCCATGGCTGTATCACCCCAAAAGAACTAAGGAGAGGAGAAACCTTGCCCAGAGGTTTATAAGGTAGAGTGGGAGCACTGCCCTTCCAGGCCCTGAACCTACCTGGAATTTCACATCAAGCATCTCATTTACTCCATAAAAACAGCTGTGTGTAAATTCTCTTCAACAAACAGCACCTGGAATTCTTCCATCAGAGATTTACCCAAAGAGTCGCCCTTTCAATCCGAACACAAATGCTCCCAGGTGCCATGTGTCCTACATTCCTCCTGGGCCTCCCCCCGACTCAGGAAGAGGACAAAGCCTCCTGCTTCCCAACTGCCAGAACTGGCAAGTTCGGCTTGTGCCAGCCGGCGTGGCTGAGGGGCTGAGCCGGGACCTATGAACCAGGAGGTTCTCCCTGTATGGGCCATTTGAGAGGCAGCCGATCAAGGATTCCCTCATCAATGATGTTTCTCTCTCCCCCTCTCCCTTCCTCTCTGAAATCAATAAAAATATGTGGGTTTTTTTTTAATCTCAGCTTTTTAAAACAAGCATTTACCGAGTGCCTGGTCTTCTTCGGAAAAGGCCACGCTGCTCTTCATCCTAACTCTATTTTAATCCCAGGTATTAATTACTACAGCCTTGTGAGGTAAGGTAGTGTTTTCTCCACTTTACAGATACATAATGGCCCCCAAAAAAGGACATTATGAAGGCCATGAGGCCGGTGGCCCCTGAGGGGCTGGAATCCAGGTCTCCTGAGTCTCCAGCCTGTTCCATTCCCCCGGCAGAAACCCACAGATGGTCACCCATTTATCTTGGTGTCGCTGGGCACTCTACATAGCAAAAGCTCTAGAATAATTTTCATTCAAAAGCTATTTATCGGCCCTAACCGGTTTGGCTCAGTGGATAGAGCGTCGGCCTGCAGACTGAAGGGTCCCAGGTTCGATTCTGGTCAAGGGCATGTACCCGGGTTGCGAGCACGTCCCAGTAGCGGGTGTGCAAGAGGCAGCTGATCAATGTTTCTAACTATCCCTCTACCTTCCTCTCTGTAAAAAAATCATATATATGTCAACCTTGTAGGTCCAAGTACTGTCTCCTCCACCTATGTGCTAGGTGACACGGAGGAAGCCTCCTTGGGAGAATTCCCCTCTACAAATGGAGATAACAGTAACCACCCAACAGCCCTGTCCTGAGAAGATGAAAGTGAAACGCCTGGAACTGTATCAGACAGACGGTGGGCGGTTAGTAATTACGGTTTCCCTTCACCTCCCCCGTCCGCCCCGCGAGCTTCGGGGTTCACTCCCTCTGCCCTGCCGCAGGGGATCCCCGGCCCGCGGCCTGCACGTGCGCGGCCTCCCGGCTCCCCGCGCCGCGGGCCCGGCCCTACCTGCATGGAGTCGGCGCTGACGATCTCGCCCCCGAGCCGCTGGCCGAGCTGCAACGCCAGCGTGGACTTGCCGGTGCCCGTGGCCCCGAGGATCACCACCAGCGGCAGGGCCCGCTGCACGCCCCGGAGCCCGTGGCCCGCAGACACGGCGCGTGCGGCCGCCGCCGCCGCCGCCATCTTGGCGACATCTGCGCCTGCGCGGGAGCAGCTGTCCCCATGACAACCGTCAGCGCGCCTGTGCAAAGCTCTGGCTGAGCCGGGAGGAGGGAGCCGCGGAGCCCAGGTCCCCAGGCTCCCGACGTGAATGCCGTCAACTAAGGGGTGTCATCGCTTACAACTACCAACTCTCCCACACAGGCTGGCAGTCCTGTCTGAAATACAGTGATCCCTGCATGAATATAAGCCCAACCAATGGACACGATCACCAGGGGGATGGGGACATGAGTGGGGGGAGGAGGGGATGGAGGCTTAATGGAGGGAGGAGGACACATATGTAATACCTTAATAAAAAAAATTAAAAATAATAAAAAATTTAAAAAGTTCACCAAAAAAGGAAAACAGTACTTATACTACTAAAATCTTCTAATTGTATTAACCAATCAGGTTTTACAACCTAGTCTAGACTGTGTATTAGATCCAATTGTAGAAAAAATAAATTGTGTAGGCAAAAAAAAACAGATGTCATAAAATGCTCTACCAGAAGTTTTGATAACTGATCAAATTTATTATTTCATTTTAAAAAGTGGGAAAAGAATTCTAGGAAGAAAAATAAAATAGAATAGAATTATCCCTGTCATTCTTTTCCAGCACCCAGTTATTTTTCTTCAGAGCACTGATTACAATATAAAATTATAAACTGACCTCTTGTCTGTTGTCTGACTTTCCACTCTAGGCTGTTGGTTCCATCAAAGGAAAGAACAGCTCCTGCCTAGGTCATTGCTGTATCTCCAGTTCCTAGCACAGTACCCTAGTAGGCTCCCAATATTGTTGTTGTTGTTTTAAATATATTTGTATTGATTTCAGAGAGAAAGGGAGAGGGAGAGATATAGAAACATCAATGATGAGAGAGAATCGTGAATAGGCTGCCTTTCAAAGGCCCCACACAGGGGAGAGGGCCCATAATCAGGGCATGTGTCCTGACCTGAATCACACGGTGACCTCCTGGTTCATAGGTCAACGCTCACCCACTGAGCCAAACCACCAGAGCTTGTTCTTTTTTTAATGAAGCGCTTTACAAATGTCAGACTTTTTTTAAAAAATGAGTCACCCTTTTTTATGTTTTGTGTTTTTATTTTTTATTTTTTATTGATGAGAGAAAGAGAGAGAGATTGAGAGAGAAGGGGGGAGGCAGAGAGAGAAAAAGAAATATAGATTTCTGTTGTTTCACTTGTCTATGCTTCATTAGTTGTTTTCTTTCTTTTTAATATTTTATTGATTTTTTACAGAGAGGAAGAGAGAGTGATAGAGAGCTAGAAACATCGACCAGCTGCCTCCTGCACACCCCCTACTTGGGATGTGCCCGCAACCCAGGTACATGCCCTTGACCAGAATCAAACCTGGGACCCTTGAGCCCACAGGCTGACGCTCTATCCACTGAACCAAACCGGTTTTGGCAGTTGTTTTCTTATATGTGACCTGACTGGGGATCAAACTGCAACCCTCTAACCAACTGAGCTGCGAACAGGGCCCAATATTGTTAAATGGAGAGCCGAATGGCTTGCCTATCTAGTGCTGGAGCCAGTCAGCTCAGGGGCGTGGCATTCTCCAGGATCAACTCTGCCCTGTTATCAGGCCAGGGTGGCTGCACTAATGTTTTCATCCCACAGCGCCAACTCAGACACAACCAGAAGGCAGGCAAAACATTCCAGTGCCATCTCTTTGAGGAGAAGATGCAGGAGATGGAGTGAGAAAAAAGAAAAACAAGCCAACTACCCACAAAAGATGAAGAAGAAAAGTAAAGCAGGCAGAAAGGATAAAATATCAATCCTCCCATGTGGCTCAGTGGTTGGAGTGTAGCCCTGTACACTGAAAGGTCAGGGGTTTGATTCCCAGTCAGGGCCCATATCTAGGTTGTGGGTTCGATCCCCAAACTGGTCAGGGCACATGCAAGATGCAACTGATGGATGTTTCTCTCTCACATCGATCAATCTCTCTTTCTCTCTCTCTCTCTCTCTCTCTCTCTCTCTCTCTCTCTCTCTCTCTCATATATATACACACTCAATCAATGAAAATCTCCTTGGATAAGGATTAATTTAAAAAGAAAAAAAAAAAAAAAAAAAAAAAAAGCAGGTGAGGAGAATTCAGACAAGAGAAGACCAAAATCCAGGGGACTCCACAATCTTGAAGAAAGGGCTTTGGAATCAGATGGACCTAGATTCAAATCCTTGCTCTATCACTTATCATCGGTGTGGCCTCATACGGTTTCCTCAATGTTTATATCATTAAATACCTCTCAAGATTTCCATAGGGAGAAAATGAAGTAATGTCTGAAAAGTGTCAGCTACAATGCCCTGGCACATAACAACCACCATTTTTGAACCCTTTGTATTATTATAAAAGCAACACTCCATCTGCCTCACTAAAGAGGTAAGAGCAGCCACCTAAAGGTCCAACATGTTCAGTAATGTGTAAACGTGTCTAAATACCTCCTGTACAAACCCTTTCTTAGCCAATGTAAGCGTTAATTTTTTTTTTCTTCCTGAGTTACTTGTCTCTGCCTAGCTCTCAAATCATGTCACCAAGATCCCCTGGGCCACAGGAATTACTCCTGGAAGTTTAGAGCATATGTGAGAATATCCGCCAATATGTGTCCTGCCAGCAATAACTATGAATACATCTCTCAATCACTTCGATCACCCTGACATAATGGCCACTCCTGTAGCCAGATGTATTGTTTGGAAAACACCAGATCCCAGGGTCCCCATACCTCCCTTTCTCAGTCCAATCTGCTTTGATCAAAAGCCTTGTTCTCTCCAATTTGTGGTACCTGCCTGGGGCTGGTATTAAAATCAAGATGTGAGGCCACATATTGGCAGACACTCAACACGATGGTTGTTAACTGTAGAGCCTTTTGCCTGGAGACTTTCAGAGGGTACAGTTACCATGGCAACCAACAGAAAGATGACAGGCTGGAGAAATGATGCAAATAAAGCAAAAGGGAGGCTAATTTCGAGATGACAATCTGACCATGACAGAGTACGCTCACTCACAGATGGGAAAGCATTGTCCCAGTCATGACCAGGTGACTGTTACTAGAGAGAGGAAAAGAGGGGGGTGGAATTTACCACCGAGAGACCAGAAGAGGGAGAGGCTGGTTGCCAAGGCAACTGGGAAGAAAGGAATGAAAAAAAAATAAAAAAAACGGGGCTTTACCACAGCAGCAGAAAATTGCTTCTAGCCAAGCAACACAGGACTGTTGCTATAGAAACAAAGAGAACAGGGATCCTGTAGACCATTGGGGAGAATTATCACTAAAATGCTGAGCAGGGAAGATCCTAAATCAGAATGGAGCCCAGGGTCCAAAACAAATGGGAAGCGAGAAAAACACTGTGCCGTTTCCATTCATTGTAGTTCCGCCAGCCCCACCACAAGAGAATGGGAGCGTGTTTTGTAATACCTTCATAGTATTTTATTTGTACCTCCGTCTCCCTAATGATCCTCTAAACTCTACCAAGAATAGTTCCTGCAGGTAATCCGTAACTTGAAATCCTAATTGGAGAGATTAAGGGGGAATTGGGAAATTGAAGTCTATGACCAAGAGCTAATAAGTATTTCTGAAAACATCATAAAACCCTCTAGGGAGAAGCTTTGCAGGGTAATAAGGAGACAAAAGGTGACAAAAGGAAGTCCAAAAGCTACATGTAGTCATCCCAGGTATGAGCTTCAGCCCTCTCTCCACCTTTCATGAGGCCAGATGGGATGTAGCTCCATCTTTTCTGTACGATAGCTCACGAGGAAAGGGGGCCTTTAGATTAAAGGATATGTATTGATGGAGAGGGGAAGGATGCAGAGCCCGTCTCCAACGTACGCCACTGCTTACAGGTTATTTAGAGAAAATAAATTCTATTTTAAAAGGCAAAAATGGCACAGCTGGTGTGGCTCAGTAACTGAGCATCGACCTATGAACCAGGAAGGAAATTACAGTTCGATTCCCAGTCAGATGGGACCCAGCCTGACTGTACAGAGTACATGCCTGGCTTGCGGGCTCCATCCCCATTTGGAAGGATGCAGGAGGCAGCGAATCAATGATTCTGTCATCATTCATGTTTCTCTCTCTCCCTTCCTCTCTGAAATCAATTAAAAAATACTTAAAAAAAAAAAAAAGACAAAAATGTTGGGATAGGTTCAGTCTGGAAGGGCATGTCTAAAATGTAGGAATGAGGCACCAGGGATGCTGAAGCTACTTGGAGGGAAATAATTCCTTACATGCCCTTCTGGAAGTCCACCGCATCCACCTCATTGTCGCCCACGTGTGTGAGCGTGGTACCCTAAGGAGCCGTGTGTAGTCAGGCTGGGCCCCTCTGCACCTATTTCCTGTTCCTTAGGAAACTGAGAGCAGAACATTGGGCTGGATGCACATGGGAACATGGCAGAAAAGGAGAAAGAGAGAAGTGCAGAAAGATAGAAGGGAAATCTGGGTGATGACTCATTCGTGTTTATTATAATATCCTATGTATATTTTAAATAATTTATTTTTAACATTTTTGGGAAAAGAAACACACTTGAGAAGAAGGCTAAAGGCGAAACCACTAGAGTGGAGGGTCCATTCGAAGGGAAGCATCTAGAACGGGGTTCTGGAGGATTCTGTGACAGTCCAGACAGAAGGAAGAATGTGGGAGGACTGAAGCATCTGTTTCTAAGGAAAAGAAGAAAGCTGGGTCAAGGACAAACACTAGTTTGTTTGTTTGAAAAAACTCAAGGTGCCTTTGCAACCTAACTCCATACTAATTAGGTATCCTAAGTAAAAAATGCTTTCTGCCGGAGTACTTCATGATGAAGTCGGTACTTGTATTGGTTTTCCAGAGCTGCCATGCCGCCATAACAAATGACCATGGAGGGGGCGGCTTAAGACAATGAAACTGCATTTCCTCCCAGTTCTGGGCCTGAAGTCCAAAACCCTGGGGTAGGCAGGGCCATGCTCCCTGCTTCCATCGATGGAAAAACCCTTCCTTGCCTCTGCCAGCTTCTGGTGGCTGCTGA